ATTCAAATCCCAACCATGGCACCACTTGCCTGGAGTTTGTATGTTCTCCCTGTGCCTCTGTGGGTTTCCTCCGGGTACTCTGGTTTCCTCCCGCACTACAAAGACACGCTGGGAGGTGAATTGTCTCCTGTCTAAATTGGCCCTAGTATGTATGAATGTGAGTTAGAGACCTTAGATTGTACGCTCCTCGGGGGCGGGGACTGATGTGAATGTACAATATATATGTAAATGACAGCACTCGGGTCGTCAATTCAAATCCCAACCATGGCACCACTTGCCTGGAGTTTGCATGTTTCTCCCTGTGCCTGCGTGTGTTTCCTCCGGGTACTCTGGTTTCCTCCCACACTCCAAAGACACGCTGGGAGGTGAATTGGCTCCTGTCTAAATTGGCCCTAGTATGTATTAATGTGAGTTAGGGACCTTAGATTGTACGCTCCTCGGAGGCGGGGACTGATGTGAATGTACAATATATGTGTAAATGACAGCACTAGGGTCGTCGATTCAAATCCCAACCACGGCACCACTTGCCTGGAGTTTGCATGTTCTCCCTGTGCCTGCGTGGGTTTCCTCCGGGTACTCTGGTTTCCTCCCACACTCCAAACATGCTGGGAGGTGAATTGGCTCCTGTCTAAATTGGCCCTAGTATGTATGAATGTGAATTAGGGACCTTAGATTGTACGCTCCTCGGGGGCGGGTACTGATGTGAATGTACAATATATATGTAAAGTGCTGCGTAAATTGACGGCGCTATATAAGTACCTGTAATAAATAAATAATTAAAGAAAGCGCCATTTGCATGGAAAAAAAAAAGATAAATTTTGTTTGCGCACAGTATTGCATGACTGCGCAATTACCAGTTAAAGTAACACAGTGCCGTATAGCAAAAATTGGCCTGGTCATAAAGGGGGGGGGGGGGGGGGGTAAAATCTTCCAGAGCTGAAGTGGTTTAACATGGACCCCATAGCATTTCAGTAGTGCTGGCTTTTTATTTCATTTGGATTTATATGGGGCCCCCATTGTGCGCCCTTCTATTCCGCCAACGGTGCAGGACATGAAGAATGTTAGCAATCCCAAACGGACGCACCATCCAAAACCAACAGAAACTGCTTTGGCGTTAGATACCATTTAAAAATGGCGTCCATGCACAAAGTCCTTTATTTGCCGATGGACATCATCCAGGAACGCAGAAAAGTCATCGATTTATTCCAACCTGCAGAGAGCTGTTTCGGGCTTGTTAGCCCTCATCAGCACAAGGTATGGAAAACAGACTTCGGAGAATCTCGGGGATCAAAGAGACATGAAAAGTTAATAACGGCTGGAGGAATGGAAGTCATGGCGGTGTACAAGGTCTGTGCGGATCACGCAGAATTTCTCGGCACGGAAGCAGGGAAAGGTCAAGATCAAGTGAAGGTTTATGGCGGGAGGCCGCTCCTGGCAGAGACAGGTTGACGTTGAGGTTAGTTAGCAGGTAATGAAGATGAAATCGATCGTTCTCATAGGATACGCTTACGCTGCAAGGGTAAAAAATACGGCTCGCCAATGTTGTACACAAGGTCCTGTGTGTGGAGCGCGGACAGGAAACCAACTACATCGTGTTTACTGCTCCCAACGAACCTTCTGCCTATAGACTCTGTAAAGTGTAAGTTCACCTTTTCAGAAAAAAAATAAAATGAGAAGGAACACCATACACCCTCCCCAGTCTCCTGGCCTGGCCCCCCCTGGGCCCCCCCCCCCCCCCCCCCCCCCCCCCCCCCCCCCCGATCACCACTGTACTTACCTCCATCAGTGGCAAGCTGTCCGCGGCCATGAAGGCAGTGCACCGGTCCAGGGATATGAAATCCTCTTCACCCTCTTCTTTCTGCAGCACTTCCAGGACAGATCAGAGTGATTCTGATTGGTCAGCGCCTGCACAGAGCATGGCTCTGATCCATCCCGGAAGAGCTGAAGAATGAAGGAGAGTGGGATATACACAGATCGGCCATAACATTATGACCACTGACGGATAAAGTGAATAGCATTGAATATCTCCTTACAAGGACACCTGAAAGTGGGCGGGATATATTAGGTGGCAAGTGAACATGTTGTCTCTGAAGTTGATGTGTTGAAAGCAGAAAAAAATGGACAAGTGTAAGGAATGGAGGGACTTTGACAAGGAACAAATTGTAATGTCTAGGCCAGGGCTAGGCAACCTGCGGCTCTCTAGCTGTTGTGGAACTACATTTCCCATGAGGCATTGCAAAAAAAATTACAAAACTGACAGTTACAGCTATGACTTGCAGAGGTATGATGGAACTTGTAGTCCTGCAGCTCTCAGGTTGCCTACCCCTGGTCTAGGCGACTGGGTCAGAGCAACTGCAAAACTGCAGCTCTTGTGGGATGTTTCAGGTCTGCAGTAATCAGAACTGAAAGTCAGGACCAAAAGTGGTCCAAGGAAGGAGAACTGGCCAATCAGTGACAGGGTCATGGGTGGCCAAGGCTCATTGATGGAGGTGGGGAGGGAAGGCTCATTGATGGAGGTGGGGAGGGAAAACTCATTGACTGAGATGTGGAGGGAAGGCTCATTGATGGAGGTAGAGAGGGAAGGCTCATTGATGGAGGTAAGGGGGAGGCTTAATGATGGAGGTAGGGAGGGAAGGCTCATTGATGGAGGTGGGGGGGAGGCTTAATGATGGAGGTGGGGAGGGAAGGCTCATTGATGGAGGTGGGGAGGGAAGGCTCATTGATTGAGATGTGGAGGGAAGGTTCATTGACTGAGATGTGGAAGAGAAGGTTCATTGATGCAGCTAGGGAGGGAAGGCTCATTGATGGAGGTGGGGAGGGAAGGCTCATTGATTGAGATGTGGAGGGAAGGTTCATTGACTGAGATGTGGAAGAGAAGGCTCATTGATGCAGCTAGGGAGGGAAGGCTCATTGATGGAGGTGGGGAGGGAAGGCTCATTGATGGAGGTGGGGAGGGAAGGCTCATTGATGGAGTTGGGGGGGGGGGGGGAGTTACACTGATGGAGGTGGGCAGAGAAGGCTCATTGATGGAGGTGGGCAGAGAAGGCTCATTGATGGAGGTGGGGAGTGAGGGCTGGAATGTAGTTCAATCCAATAGAAGAGCTACAGGAGCTCAAATTGCTGAAAAAGGGTGAATGCTGATTCTTATAAAAAGGTGTCAAAACACACAGAACATTACAGTTTGTTGTGTACGGGGCTGTGTAGCCGCAGACCGGTCAGAGTGTCCATGCTGATCCGTGTCCACAGCCAAAAGCTCCTACAATGGGCACGTTAGCCTCAGAACTGGACCACGGAGCCATGGAAGGAGGTGGCCTGGTCTGATGAAAGACATTTTCTTTTACATCATGTGGTTGGCTGGGTGTGTCACTTATCTGGTGAAGAGATGGCACCAAGATGCAGTATGGGAAAAAGACAAGCCGGCGGAGGCAGTGTGATGCTTTGGGCAATGTTCTGCACTCCACAGAAACTGATCTCCAAAAACTAACAAACGACTTACTAACCGCTAAAACCAATGGTCACTATTCCGTACTCTTGCTCTTGGACCTCTCTGCTGCCTTTGACACAGTTGACCACCACCTCCTCCTCAAAAAACTCTATTTACTTGGTCGCCATGACTGGACTCTCTGTTGGTTCTAATCTTACCTATCTCACCGCACATTCAGTGTCACTTACAACTCTACTTCCTCCTCTCCTACTCCTCTTACTGTCGGGGTCCCCCAAGGTTCTGTCCTTGGACCTCTCCTACTCCTCTTACTGTCGGGCTCCCACAAGGTTCTGTCCTTGGACCTCTCCTACTCCTCTTACTGTCGGGGTCCCGCAAGGTTCTGTCCTTGGACCTCTTCTACTCCTCTTACTGTCGGGGTCCCCCAAGGTTCTGTCCTTGGACGTCTCCTACTCCTCTTACTGTCAGGGTCCCCCAAGGTTCTGTCCTTGGACCTCTCCTACTCCTCTTACTGTCGGGGTCCCCCAAGGTTCTGTCCTTAGACCTCTCCTACTCCTCTTACTGTCAGGGTCCCCCAAGGTTCTGTCCTTGGACCTCTCCTACTCCTCTTACTGTCGGGGTCCCCCAAGGTTCTGTCCTTGGACCTCTCCTACTCCTCTTACTGTCGGGGTCCCGCAAGGTTCTGTCCTTGGACCTCTTCTACTCCTCTTACTGTCGGGGTCCCCCAAGGTTCTGTCCTTGGACGTCTCCTACTCCTCTTACTGTCAGGGTCCCCCAAGGTTCTGTCCTTGGACCTCTCCTACTCCTCTTACTGTCGGGCTCCCACAAGGTTCTGTCCTTGGACCTCTCCTACTCCTCTTACTGTCGGGCTCCCACAAGGTTCTGTCCTTGGACCTCTCCTACTCCTCTTACTGTCGGGGTCCCCCAAGGTTCTGTCCTTGGACCTCTCCTACTCCTCTTACTGTCGGGGTCCCCCAAGGTTCTGTCCTTAGACCTCTCCTACTCCTCTTACTGTCGGGGTCCCCCAAGGTTCTGTCCTTGGACGTCTCCTACTCCTCTTACTGTCGGGGTCCCCCAAGGTTCTGTCCTTGGACCTCTCCTACTCCTCTTACTGTCAGGGTCCCCCAAGGTTCTGTCCTTGGACCTCTCCTACTCCTCTTACTGTCGGGGTCCCCCAAGGTTCTGTCCTTGGACGTCTCCTACTCCTCTTACTGTCGGGGTCCCCCAAGGTTCTGTCTTTGGACCTCTCCTATTCTCCATCTACACTTCTTTCTTGGGTCAGCTGATAGCTTCCCATGGTTTCCAATACCATTTCTATGCTGATGACACACAAATCTATCTCTCTACTCCTCAGCTCACCCCATCAGTTTCCTCACATATCACCGATTTACTGACAGACATTTCAGACCGGATGTCACTCCACTTCCTAAAACTCAATCTATCCAAAACTGAGCTTAGAATATTTCCTCCCCCATGTGCCTCTTCACCTGATTTCTCAGTCAGGATCAATAGCACCACCATCAACCCATCGCTGCATGCCGGGATGCTCGGGGTAACCCTGGATTCTGAACTATCCTTTCCGGCCCACATCCAATCCCTGTCCAAATCATGCCACCTCAACCTCCGGAACATCTCCAGAATACGCCCCTTTTTAACCAATGATACTACAAAGCTCCTAATTCACTCCCTGATCATCTCTCGCCTCGATTACTGCAACTCCCTCCTCATTGGCTTACCTTTACATAAGCCACACCCCCTCCAGTCCATCATGAATACCGCTGCCAGGCTCATCCACCTTACCAACCGTTCAGTGTCTGCTACCCCTTTTTGCCAATCCCTCCACTGGCCTCCACTCAGTGTCCTCCATCCCTCTCTGCCAATCCCTCCACTGGCCTCCATTCAGTGTCCTCCACCCCTCTCTGCCAATCCCTCCACTGGCCTCCATTCAGTGTCCTCCACCCCTCTCTGCCAATCCCTCCACTAACCTCCACTCAGTGTCCTCCACCCCTCTCTGCCAATCCCTCTACTGGCCTCCACTCAGTGTCCTCCACCCCTCTCTACCAATCCCTCCAGGGCCTCCACTCAGTGTCTTCCACCCCTCTCTGCCAATCCCTCCACTGACCTCCACTCAGTGTCCTCCACCCCTCTCTGCCAATCCCCCCCACTGACCTCCACTCAGTGTCCTCCACCCCCTCTCTGCCAATCCCTCCACTGACCTCCACCCCTCTCTGCCAATCCTTCCACTGGCCTCCATTCAGTGTCCTCCACCCCTCTCTGCCAATCCCTCCACTCAGTGTCCTCTACCCCTTTCTGCCAATCCTTCCACTAGCCTCCATTCAGTGTCCTCCACCCCTCTCTGCCAATCCCTCCACTGGCCTCCATTCAGTGTCCTCCATCCCTCTCTGCCAATCCTTCCACTGGCTTCCATTCAGTGTCCTCCACCCCTCTCTGCCAATCCCTCCACAAACCTCCACTCAGTGTCCTCCACCCCTCTCTACCAATCCCTCCAGGGCCTCCACTCAGTGTCTTCCACCCCTCTCTACCAATCCCTCTACTGACCTCCATTCAGTGTCCTCCACCCCTCTCTGCCAACCCCTCCACTGACCTCCACTCAGTGTCCTCCACCCCTCTCTGCCAATCCCTCCACTGACCTCCACTCAGTGTCCTCCACCCCTCTCTGCCAATCCCTCCACTGACCTCCACCCCCCCCTCTCTGCCAATCCCTCCACTGGCCTCCATTCAGTGTCCTCCACCCCTCTCTGCCAATCCCTCCACTCAGTGTCCTCTACCCCTCTCTGCCAATCCCTCCACTAGCCTCTATTCAGTGTCCTCCACCCCTCTCTGCCAATCCTTCCACTGGCTTCCATTCAGTGTCCTCCACCCCTCTCTGCCAATCCCTCCACTGGCCTCCACTCGCCCAAGAAATAAAATTTAAAAAACTAACTAAACTTACAAAGCCATCCACAACTCTGCCCCCGGCTACATCACCAACCTGGCCTCAAAATATCAACCAAACAGCTCTCTTCGATCCTCCCAAGATCTTCTGCTCTCTAGTTCCCGTGTCACCTCCTCCCATGCTCACCTCTAGGACTTCTCCCGAGCTTCTCCCATCCTATGGAACTCCCTACCCCAATCTGTCTAGCTGTGTCCTAATCTATCCACCTGAAAACCTCTCTCTGTGAAGAAGCCTATCCTGCTTCTACCTAGTAAACCTCCATTTGTTTCCTCCATCAGCTCCTCCCCCACACAGCTATTACCTTTTGTATCACTCAACCCTTCCTCCCAGATTGTAAGCTCTCAGGATCAGGGCCCTCTGTTTCCTCTTGTACCAAGTTGTATTGTAACTGTCATGTCTGCCTTCATTTTGTAAAGCGCTGAGCAAACTGTTGGCGCCATATAAATCCTGTATAATAATAATAATAATAATAATAATTAGGTGGGTGGTCATAATGGAATATAAACAGTCCACAGGGCAAATAAATTATATATGAAAATTAAAAATACTATAAATAAAAGTCCAAAAAAGATCTAAAGTCCACACGTTTTTAGATCTTTTTTGGACTTTTATTTATAGTATTTTGAATTTTCACATAGAATTTATTTGCGCTGTGGAGTGTTTATAATTTTATTGGATTGTTTTTTTTAGAACAGCAGCATTTACATTTCTTAAAGTTTATATTTTTTCTCTGGGGCAAGTTTATATTTATTTATTTTTTTGTTTTATAATGGAATATAAACATAGAAAGGTGATGGCAGAAAAAGACCAAGGGGTTTTTTTTTGTTTTCTTTTTGTTAACCTTTTTGTCTGAGTATAGATGTGTGCTTATCGCTGATTGGTGCGTATTTAGCGGCGTGCTCGGCGTTCCGCTTTACCGTGATTATGTAATACAGAGAGACGAGTGATTTATTTTAAATGATAGGATTAGGAATAATCAGATTCCATCGGCTCCGTCATTCCAGCGAACAGCAAACTGATGTCATCATCACAAGTACTAATAATGCTAATTGGCGGCTCAATAAAGCAGCTGAAATCTAAACTTACAAAGAAAAGACCAGAAGACGCCATATTGGAAGCGCTGAACGGAGACGCAATATGGTAAGCGCTGAACGGAGACGCGATATCGGAAGCGCTGAACGGACACGCGATATCGGAAGCGCTGAACGGAGACGCGATATCGGAAGCGCTGAACGGAGACGCGATATCGGAAGCGCTGAACGGAGACGCGATATCGGAAGCGCTGAACGGAGACGCGACATCGGAAGCGCTGAACGGAGACGCGACATCGGAAGCGCTGAAGGGAGACGCGACATCGGAAGCGCTGAAGGGAGACGCGACATCGGAAGCGCTGAACGGAGACGCGACATCGGAAGCGCTGAACGGAGACGCGATATCGGAAGCGCTGAACGGAGACGCGATATCGGAGACGCGATATCGTAAGCGCTGAACGGAGACGCGACATCGGAAGCGCTGAACTGAGACGCGATATCGGAAGCGCTGAACGGAGACGCGATATCGGAAGCGCTGAACTGAGACGCGATATCGGAAGCGCTGAACGGAGACGCGACATCGGAAGCGCTGAAAGGAGACGCGACATCGGAAGCGCTGAACGGAGACGCAACATCGGAAGCGCTGAACGGAGACGCGACATCGGAAGCGCTGAACTGAGACGCGATATCGGAAGCGCTGAACGGAGACGCGATATCGGAAGCGCTGAACTGAGACGCGATATCGGAAGCGCTGAACGGAGACGCGACATCGGAAGCGCTGAACGGACACGCGACATCGGAAGCGCTGAAAGGAGACGCGACATCGGAAGCGCTGAACGGAGACGCGACATCGGAAGCGCTGAACGGAGACGCGACATCGCGACATCGGAAGCGCTGAACGGAGAGACGCGACATCGGAAGCGCTGAACGGAGACGCGACATCGGAAGCGCTGAACGCAGACGCGACATCGGAAGCGCTGAACGGAGACGCGACATCGGAAGCGCTGAACAGAGACGCGACATCGGAAGCGCTGAACGGAGACGAGATCCGCTGTTCCAGGTACTGATCAAAGACAAAGATAGAAAATGAGCGAGTTTTGTCATTTCCTCGTCTTACTGTACATCGATCGTTATTAAACACTATTCCAGAATCATACAGCACAGAGGGGGGGGGGGGTGTCATCCATTTTTATCAAGCTGCAATTAATTGCATTAACAAAAAAATGTATGTTGCGGTTAGATGCAGATATACAGAAGAAGGACCGTTCTTCCCGCCACCTGCAGTGCTGTCACTCTGCCAGTTTTATCACCGCTACAGATGGAGAATGGATAAACATGACACCGGTGTGGTCTCCACCGCTCCTCCACGCCTGCTGACAACTGCACACTTCCAAAGGTTGATTAATGAGACGGGATCTGGGGGGGGGGGGGGGTCACGTGGACCAGATCCCTGAACTAAGGTTGGAGAACCAACCTAACATGAACCACGCTGGCAAAGGCAACACAGTCACTTAAAGGGTGACTCCACTTCTGTGGGAAAAAAAATATAGCAAATGAAATAGAAATAAATAAAAAAATTATAATTTATCATATACAGTTGCTACAGAAGTTATAGGGGGAGATTTACTGAAACTGGAGGGTGCAGAATCTGGTGCGGCTGTGCAGGGGAGCCAATCAGCTTCCAGGTTTTATTGTCAAAGCTTCATTCAACAAGCTGAAGTTAGAAGATGATTGGTAAGTAAATGGTAAAAAATATAAAAATATAAAAAAAAAAAATATATATATATAATGGGGCAGCACAGTGGCTAAATGGTTAGCACTTCCGCCTGGCAGTACTCGGGTCGTTGGTTCGAATCCCAGCCAGAGCACCACCTGCCTGGAGTTTGCATGTTCTCCCTGTGCCTGCGTGGGTTTCTTCCGGGTACTCCAGTTTCCTCCCACACTCCAAAGACATGCTGGGAGGTGAATTGGCTCCTGTCTAAATTGTCCCTAGTATGTGTATGTATGAATGTGAGTTAGGGACCTTAGATTGTACGCTCCTCGGGGGCGGGGCCTGATGTGAATGTACAATATATATGTAAAGCGCTGCGTACATTGACGGCGCTATAAAAGTACCTGAAATAAATAAATAAAATAAAAAAAAATATATATATATATATATATATATATATATATAACTATTTTGGGCCAGTTGTTTTTTTTTCAGGACAAATTGGGCTTTCATTTGCTGGTAAATGGCAACTCGTTTTTTTATTCTTATTAATAAAGTAAAACTGGCCCAAAAAAAAAATTATATATATACAGTATATTACTATTTTGGGCCAGTTTTACTTTAATAATAATAATTCAAAAAATAAAATGAGTTGCCATTTACCAACAAATGAAAGCCCAATTTGTCCTGAAAAAAGAACAACACGATAGAATCCACAAGTAGTTGTGGTGAGATGTAAAGATTACTAACAGGTCAAAGTTGCAAATTTGTGCTTAGGCATTAACATTAGTTTTACCCTTAGACAGGAAAAGGTTAAAGAAGAACTCCGGGATAGGCAAACAAAATCACCCGTTAGGACACCCCCCCCCCCCCCCCTACACAAAACACTAAACAGTTAATACCATTTTAAAAATCCTTACCATTTAGGAGAAAAGTCTTATAGAATGTTCATGGCCCCGTCTCTGTCATTCAAAAGATAAAAGCGTCCACTCTGCCAAGGAGGAGGAGTACCAGCCGGGATTGCATCATATCCTGTCCAGTAAAAGAAAACTACCGTTCCCATCAGCCACAGGGAATTGTAGTAAATGTGGGCGGGTACACTGGGCCTGTGAATGTGTCTGAGAGTCTCGGTCCGCCCACCACTACAAGTGGGGCAGAATGACATCACAGCTTGCTGGACAAAGAACTACAGAAGGGATGTGCCAAGACCAGTGGCTGGGGGAGCAGGAGACAGAGCCGGTCTTACAAACAGGAAACCAAAGAGAATGAACAGTTTGATTTGAAACTGAATCGGCGATGTCAGAGCAATTACTGATGGAGCCAGAAGATGGATGACGTGTTCAGTGAATGTAGGAAATCAGCCACATGAACATTGAAATACATTTTTTTTGCCCGGAGTTCTGTTATAACCGCTTAAGGACCGCCCTATAGCAGATATACTGACAGGGCGGCACCTGTGCGCAGGATCACGTACATATTCTGCATTTCTGGGTAGAGGGCGTACTTGCGCCCTACCCACACCGCCATTTGTGCCCGCGGTTGTCAAACACCGGGACCCGTCCGGTGATTACCGAGCATCTCCGACGGGGAGGAAGATTGTTTTGTTTACAAGCAATCTTCCTCCCTGTCAGCTCGAGCACCCTGAACAGTACAGCCATCCTGATCAGTGTGCTTACAGTGAAGCACATAGACCCCGCCCCCTAGTAACACACTTCCAGCACACAGTTAACCCACTGATTGCCCCTCACATTAACCCCTTCCTGCCCAGTGCCATTAATACAGTGTCAGTACTTTTTTTTTTAGCACTGATAACTGTATTGGTATCACTGGGGTGTCAGTGACACCAAGTTAGTCCCCCCCCCCCCCCCCCCCCCCAGTGTCAGAATGTCCACCGCAGTCCCATTGAAAGTCGCTGATCGCCGCCATTACTAGAAGACAAAAAAAAATCCAGTATCTATGCCGCCATTTGTAAACGCTATAACTTTCACGTAAACCAATTA